GGCTGGAGTGCAGGGGTGCGATCACCGCTCACTGCAGCCTCGACCTCTGGGGCTCCAGGGATCCTCCCACCTGAGCCGGCTGGAGTGCAGGGGTGTGATCACCGCTCACTGCAGCCTTGACCTCCGGGGCTCCAGGGCTCCTCCCACCTGAGCCGGCTGGAGTGCAGGGGTGTGATCACCGCTCACTGAAGTCTCGACCTCTAGGGCTCCAGGGATCCACCTGAGCTGGCTGGAGTACAGGGGTGCGATCACCGCTCACTGCAGCCTTGACCTCCGGGGCTCCATCGATCCTCCCACCTCCAGGGGCTGAAAACCTGGTGGGTTGGCTGTGACTCCTCCACCCCTCCCCCAATGGCCCTCACCGGCAGCACCCACCCACTGTGGGCCTGCAGGGACGTGAGTGTTGCCATCATGACCTACATAGCCCTCAGCAAAACCGAGTGGACCCTCCTGGAGGCAGCGCTGCTGAGTTCAAGGCATACCCGGCTCTACGTGGGGCTGGTGCAGCACAACTGGTGGGAAGCGGCTTGCCAGTGACCCCCCCGGGGAACAAGAGGTGAGCCTGGCCCCAGAGAGTGCAGTGTCTTTGTGGGGAGAAAGAAATTTCTAGAACCAACCATTCAAGCATTCAACAACTCCTGGAATCAGGCTCGTCTCGAAAGAGAACCCGAGTCCCCATCTGTGCATCCTGGTGCACAGGGAATGATTTCAAGACAGAACAAAACCGCAGCAGGGACTCCTGCAAATGCCTTTGTGAGGTCCCGCCAACTTGCTCTCATACTTCCCATTAACCTTCCAGCTGGCTGGGGTGGGCTGTGAAGGGGGTGGGAATTGTCTCGTGCTGCCGTTGGCCAGCAGCAGGGCTGTCAGCAGGGCACCACACCTCTCAGGCCTCCGTTCCTCCACGCACGGCATGGACGCTGGCACCCACTTGTGAGCTCAGCATCCAGGAATGAGCGGTCGCTGGACCGCCTGTGCACTACACAGACATGGCCTGCTGGGAGGGCGAGTAGAGGCTCAGCCCCAGCCCCAAGCCTGGCTGGCAGGGAGGGGGCCCCTCTGTGGCCCATTGGGGCTGGATAAGCACCCACCCAGCTGCCTTCTGTGCTCTCGGCACTTGGTGACAGCAGCATTCCTGCCACCCACACATTGGCCTTTTTTCTGCTCAGAGACACAACCTGCATTCAGCTATAAAAGCGAAGGCCAAAAATACAAGAAGCCAACAAGTGCATGAAGACGCTGAAATCATCAGAGAAACACCAGTCAAAGCCCCAGCTGCACGCTCGTTAGGATGGCGATCATCAAAATGACATGTGCTGCTGCGGACCTGCAGAAACAGGCAGTGTGCTGCTGGCAGGGAGGTGACATGGCGCGGCTGTGTGGGAGACAGCCTGGCAGGTCCCCACCGGTTAAGCAGAGAATCACCACGTGACGAAGCAAGTCCACTGCTAGGTCTGCACTCGAAAGAACTGGAAATAGACTCAAACGGATTCTTGTATGTGAACTCTGCAGCAGCACCGCTCACAACAGCCGAGAGTGGATGCTGCAAATGCGCCTCAGCAGCCGCACGCACACACGTGGGGTACCCACCGTCCAGCAGGACAACATTACCCGCCAGGCAGAGGGGAAGGCCTGAGGCGGGCACAGTGCCCACCGTCCAGCGGGACATTACCCATCAGGCAGAGAGGAAGGCCTGAGGCGGGCAGAGTGCCACCGTCCAGGGGGACATTACCTGCCAGGCAGAGGGGAAGGCCTGAGGCGGGCAGAGTGCCCACCGTCCAGGGGGACATTACCTGCCAGGCAGAGAGGAAGGCCTGAGGCAGGCAGAGTGCCCACCATCCAGCGGGACATTACCCACCAGGCAGAGAGGAAGGCCTGAGGCGGACGGCCCCTGAAGCCAGACACCAAGCTCACAGACTCTGTTTCGTAAATTGCGCAGAAGCGGGAAGTCTGCAGAGGCAGAAGGCTGATCGCAGGCCACTGGAGCTGACGAAGAGGGGATGTGGGGAGTGGGGAGGGGGTCTTCTTTTGGGGTGAGGAAAACATTCAAGCCATGGGAGAGAGATCCAAGATGGCTGATCACTAGCAGCTCGGGATTGCAGCTCCCACTGAAAGAGCAGAGAACCAGAGGACGCCACACTTTCAGATCAATTTTTGTTGCTCACGCACCAGGAGATTCCCAGCGGAGGAGCCCCACGTGTTGCCAGCGCAACTCTTGAGGCCGGTGAGGCAGTTTTGCCGCTGCCTTGGAGCAGCGGTTCTTGTTGCAGAGTCAGAAAAGCACCATCAATCTTAACACCGCTGTTTTGGCCGGCACGGTGGGTTGCTCAGATTCTAGCGCCAGGAATCAACAAGGTGGGCGTCCATTCAGAAACCCAACTATAAAGACGGTAATTATAAAGACCGCAGATGGATAAATCTATAATGAAGGGAAGAAACCAGCCCAAAAAGGCTGAGAATACCCAAAATCAGAACGCCTCTCCCTCTACAGGGGATCACAGTTCCTCATCAGCAACGGAACAAGG